TTTTGGTGTGAGCGAAAATATGAAACAAATCCACAAATGATCAGACTGATTTCTTGACAAAACTCCTAAATTAACGTTTACAATAGTAACGCTCTTAGTTTTCACCAATTCACTGATTCGTAGCATTTGCTTTGCATAACAAATGAATCATTTGCCGATGGTTTCGTATGTGAAACCAACAAAAAGTCTAACAATTAGACAAGAACCTTCGAATATCACCATTCCTAATGCTCATCCTTGCTATCCCCGATCTGCAAATCTCGTTGTGATCTAAAATCTGAAATCAGATTCGATTCAACTACTTGCTTGGTAAGTACGATTGCTTGAATGTAATCCACATTTAAACACTGTGTGCATTCGTTATGGTATCAAGAACTCTGATTTTGAGCTCAATTTGAAAAAAAAAAGCATAGAAAAAGCCAAAAGAGTTCGTTGAACATTCTGTGTCAATCCATTTACAAACGAAATAATTAGCAGTGAAATGTGACTCACTTCCTCAGATTCAATATTATCGCCTTCTATAACACTGTTATCGTAATGCGTCAAAGCCGTGCTATATTCACCACTGAAATCCAAAAATCACTGATCAGAGCAATGCGCGAATAAACAATTCAATAGTTTTGTAGAAAACCATAATGACTATAAAATTTCTATCAGATGATCCTATTTCTGTACAGATCTGATAAACTGGATCGACGTAATTCACCCAAAATAAAGAAATGATAATGAATTCAGTGATTCCATTATTGATCAACGAAGAGAACTGCAGTTTTGCGACACTCACATGAACTCCAGTTGTTGCGCGTATTCTTTTGAAATGAATGGAATTTGCTCGGGTGCTAGTCGATTAGCCAACTGCAGAGCCTTTTCCCAGTGCAGTAAATCACGACGCATCTGTGAATACAATTCTCTTGATATTTCATTGTAACGCTCAAATGTATCATTCAATTTCATATGCCAATTCGATAGCACTTCATCGAAATTGTTTCTCGAATCTGTTTGAGCGTGCAGCTTAATAAACTATTTTTGCTTTCTTTTCCTATGTATAATCTCAGAATGAAACCAAAATCCATACATCAAGCGCTTCTGTTGGCTTAGTGGACCTTAGAAAATATGATTCAGCCACATCGAATTGTTCCATAATAAGTGCCAAGTGACCAGCAAGAAGATTACGCTCCTCAATGTATTGAATCTCTTCGAGCGCCCATACCATTGAAACGTCATCAATTTGTTTCATCACCCGAATTGCTGAATGGTAATTTATGGAATTGCATGAACCTAGCATACATTTTTTTCCGCAAAATTTTCTTTGAATTTCAATGAATTTGTCAAAATTCTCGACTTTCTTGAGAATTAGATAAAATTTTTACAACGAACCCAATTCAACATCAGCGTTTTGCATAGCTGCAATTGCGTACTTTCGCCAGTGCTCTTTGTTCTTTGTGAAATCACAAATGCGCCATGCATTCAACCATCTAAAGATACGAGTTCATCAAATATTCTCAGCAACCGTTTTGAATCTGTACAAATCTTTGTTGTATGAACGCTTTTTGTTCAGATCCACTCTAAATTCAATATTTGCGAAAAATCGCAAATATTTTTGGCTTTTCACGCCACACCAGTTAAATTTTCCACGAACACGATGAGCTACAATGAAAAGAGAAACGCAATTCAACATAAGCAAATAACCTCTTCAACTTGAGTGCTTGCTCGAGGAGTTTTTGAAGCTGAAAAAATGATATCATTTAGAGCGAACTAAACGGAACGCAGTTAGATGCAACTCTGTACAGATTACCTTCATGTGATCAATAATAAAAGTTTCCATTCAGGAGGAATTTTTCACGAATTACCTCAAACGAACTAGTTGGGATGGGGCAAATTTCTGACAATTGTGAATCGCTTGAATTAGTTCAAGACAAATGGAACTAAAAATTAATCGTTATGATCTGAACGCAGCTGATTCTTGTTCTTTTGTTTATTCTCAGCATATTTGTCATATTATTTGAGGTCGTTGTTTTTAACTGTCTTCAACTATTTCAGTTTTGTGGCCAGCTTCCCGTTCAAACCTTCGGTAATCATATCTTTTCAAATAGAGTTATTTCATATCCAATTTCCCTTCACTCCT